ACCAAACTCCAACTGCTCGCCCCGCCTCCGAAGGCCCCGCCCCAAGCAGGCCCCGCCTCCGAAGGCTCCGCCCCAAGCAGGCCCCGCCCCAGACTTGCAACCTCACTGCCCCAGTCATGGTCTCCTACAGTTCGAGGCTGGCCAGCGGCGGACGCCGGGACCTCTGGGTCCAGGAGCCCCCAAGTCCCCGCCCCGCTACGGAGAAGGCGAACGCTGCTGGGGCTTAGACCTAGGGTCTGCTCCCGTACACAGCAGGTGCTCACTAAATGCAAGTGAGCAGCCTGGTGTGCACAGTGCAGGAGCTGGTGCCCTGATACCGACCCCCAACCCCTGCACACCCTGTGATCCTGCGCCGCTCTGTCCTCTGGTCCTCTCAGGTCGGCAAGGACCGCGGAGCTTGTCTCCCCTCACCAAAAAGCAACCAGGCACTTTCCACCCTCAGGGCAGAATTAAATTAAAAATTTTTAATTCACTTTTTAAAACTGCTCACCCTCCTGTGCCCTCCTCCCTTGTCCTCCTCTGACCCCCCCCCAGGGCCATTAGGCAGAGCTGCCCACTGGGTCTGTGTCCAGAGTGCTCCCCGAAGTCCCTGTCCCAGCAGAGGTCCCAGTCCCAGAGTGGAACCAAGCAGCTCCTTCCCAGGCTGCCCATCCAGCCTTGCCAAGGGCAGCCTGCCTGCCTTGGTGGGGCCTGTTCCACCCCGGGGACAGCACTAAGGCCACAGGTCCCAGCCCACAATGCCAGTGGGGCCCTGGAGGGAGTAGGGAGCAACACCCAGGGAGGGTGTGGTCCAGCCAGGCCCGTGGAGAGAGGAGTCTGGGGAGGCGCCGGCAGACGGGGGAGCCTGGGCTCCAGCTCCCCACCCAGGCCCGCTCTCCTGTGGCCCCTAGGGAGGCAACAAGAAGTGGGCTCCATGCCCGGTGTAGTGGCACATTCCTGTAATCCCAGCACTCGGGAGGCTGAGGCAGGAGGATCACTGTGAGTTTGAGGCCAGCCTGGGCTACATAGTGAGTTCCAAGTCAGTCTCAACTACATGGTGAGACCCTGTCTCAAAAAAAATAAAAAAATAAAAAAAATAAAAAGCAAGCTCCAGGGACAGCTGCCTGCCAGGTTAGGGATGGGGCCACAGGCCAGGCTCAGGCTCAGTTACAACGAGCCAAGGCTCCCACTGTCCCCCACCCCAGCCCTCCAGGCCCTGGGCCTGCCAGGCGCCCCTCTCTCCGCCATGTCCCTCACTGCCCCAAGGCCCAGCCTTGAGGTTCTGTCACTGTCCAGCACAGAGAGACATCCTTTTGGGTGGCTCTGACAACCCTGTGCCAGTCGGGCCCCTGCCAGCTTGAAGGATCCGTGGGCTGAGCAGGATTCCCGGGGACAGACCCACCTGGGCCCATGTACCCAGGCACACCGGGAGGCAAGGAAGGGCTTGTACCAGGTTCCCTGCCCAGGTGACCTCAGCTTTGCTTCTGAGGGGTTCTGTGGGTCCATTTCCCACCCAGTGTGACTGTCAAGCCCCACTGGGAAGTTCTGTCCCCGGCCATGGGTGGAGGAGCTGCCCACGCGACGCTCCGTTTTCTATTTTTATACTCAAGTGCCTGCTCTCAGCCCACAGAGCCCGATTTGGAACTCGAAAGCAGCCCGTTCTGTTCCGGGTCCCGCTTCCAGCCCTCAGGTGGGGAGGTGGGTGCGTGTACACACAGAGGTCTCCATGGCCCCGCGTGCCCCTGGCACCCCGGTTGCCACCCTCAAGACCACCAGGGACCCACAGGGCCTGAGGCGTAGAGAAGTTCCATGTCAGTCCCAGTGGACCCATCTGCCACTGTGACAGCGGAGACCCAGGGGCTGCACAACTCAAGGGGCTGGGCACAGGCTGGTACCCTGCCTCGGACCAGCAGGCAGAGGGCTCATGACCTGCATAAGCTGCGCTTTACATCTAGTTTCTGTTTTCCATCTGGCTTTCACTTGCCCATAATTTAAAGCCTTCCATAGTTTTCAAGGCCTCTTGCAAAATACAAGGCTGCTGCCTGCCTCGTCTCCAGAGGTGGCTGTCAGCGTTAATTCAGCCCCCTGTTCCGGTTTCACTTCCATATCCCAAAATAACAGCGCTGCTTCTGACCTCCTGTGCTGTTTGTTACTGAGTGTTGGGACCCATCAGCAGGGCTGGACTCTGTGACACCAGGTGAATTCGCTTCATACCTCGACCATGTGACGTAATGGGTGACTTTTCCTTTCCTGCTTGCCTTCTGCTCCCCTGAGTTAATAAATATCACCTTTTATGTTTAGTTTATTGTTGTTGTTGTTGTTGTTGTTGTTTTTGAGACAGGGTCTCAATATGTATCCCAGGCTGGCCTCAAACTTGTTTTTGTTTTTTTGGCTTTTTGAGACAGGATCTCACCATGTAGTTCACACTGACCTGGAACTCACTATGTAGGCCAGGCTGGTCTTGAACTCACAGTGATCCTGCTGCCTCAGCCTCCTGAGTGCTGGGATTACAGGCATGCGCTACCACGCCCGGCTAGCCTCAAACTTGTGACCCTGGTGCCTCAGCCTCTCGAGTGTTCAGATTACAGGTGTGTGCCCCCAAGCCCGGCTCAATTACCATCATTTATTTATTTATTTTTGGTACTGGGGATCGAACTCAGGGCCTTGCGCTTGCAAGGCAGGCAGCAGTACCACTGAGCTAAATCCTGGCCCTCCAACACCATTTTTTGCCTGGCCTGGTGGCAGAGGCCTGTAATCCCAGCACTCTAGGAGGCTGAGACAGGAGGATTTCAAGTTTTAGTTTAGTTTAGTTTAGTTTAGTTTAGGGCAACTCAGCAATCAAGGCTCTACCTCAAAATAAAAAAATAAAAGGGCTGAGGATGTAGCTCAGTGCAAGGGGCCTAAATTCAATCTCCAGTACTGAAACAAACAAACAAACAAATCTTTTACTTGCTTACTTTTGTTATTACTAATTCAACTACAAATTTTGTCAAATGTCACACCTCCAACAAGGCTGCCCAGGGTATCCAGTGTTCCGTCAGCAAAGGACTCCACTCCCTCACCGGGACCCACCTTCCCCTAACCTGACCAGGCTCCCCAGCTCCCACTGAACCCTTCACTCCACCTCCAGAGCTGGCTGAGCCTTGGAGGGTGCTGGGTGGGGTCAGTCTGAAGGCACTGTGGATCCTGAAGAAGCCTGCATGGGACTCAGCGAATAGCTGCAGGCCCACAGGCCCAGGGCCTAGGCTGATACCCAGAGCCTGGCTTCTGACTGTCTGCCATGGTCGTTTCCGTCTCCAGGAATCTCTGTTCAAGGAACACTGATCTGTGTGGGGCTCTCACCAGCACAGCCTGTTACCTTCTGTGGACAGGCGGTCCCAGCCTGGATGTGTCTCGTGAGAGACGAGCAGCCTCTGCCAAAAACCCTGAGGCCAAAGACGGGACAGACTTGCCTGGCTGCCAGGGCTGCAGCTGGGCTGTCCTTCTGTCCTGCTGGCTCTGAGTACCAGCCCTCACCCCCTGCCAGAGTTGACAAAGGCAGCGGAGGCCTCAGTCCTCCCAAAATTGGGAGCCTGGCTTGGGGGTGACCCCCCCTCTTCCACCTCAGGTGGAGGAGGTGGCTGTAGCCCAGGGGCTGTTCCTCAGCCTAAGGCAGAGCTGTCCATGGTGCAGCCTCTGATCCCTAGGGTGGAGAATCAGGGAGACGGTTCAGTCCTAAGTATGGCTGGAAACAGAGCAAGATGAAGGGCCCCTGGGGACACGGTGTGTGTGGCAGGAAGGAGGGAGGGCCTGCAGCTGCTGCTCCCTTCTGGAGATCGGTCACACCCTGCCTACCTAGATGCTCATTCCTGCAGCGGGCATGCGCTCACCATCTCACAAAAGCCCCTGTGCCAGGCACCGGGAACAGCAGGTGCACAGGGTCCCTGTCAGCCACCCTGGCTGCCCAGGCCCTGCTGCCATGGCCCAGGCCCTCAACCACTGCCTCTCTCTGCGTCCCTCCTCCAAGAAGCCAGCCAGGCTGCTTGCTCCTCTATCTTAGCCAAGCTGACTGGCAACTTCCCTGCTTTGGGGTTGGGACAGGGCCATCTTGGCTCACAATGCCCAAGAGGAATCGGCTGTTGGGAAGCTGTGTTGCCTTTACCTCAGCGGCCTCCAAGTGTGGTCAGTCACCACCTCTGTGGCCGCAGCTCTGAGCCAGCCACTGATGTTCTCTCTTAACCCTGCAAGGCTCCTGCCTCACTCTGGGGAAGGTGGGGTCCCCCATTTGTAAGGCCTCACCCATTTGCCCTCTGCAGCTCTCCTCCTCCCCACCTCTGTCCACCACCCGGCGCCTGCTATTCCCAGAGCTGGGAGACGCACCCTGCTCTGGCCTCTCTGCAAGACACTAGTTCCTCCCCCTGCATGTCCTGGAGCTCTGCTCACACCTCCCACTTTACTGCTGCCACCCTCGAGCTGGCCCCACAAAGCCCTTAGAGGAATCTGTCACGACTCCAACAAGGTGAGCTGGAGGACACAGGGTCTCACAGCTGGCCCAGCACCAGGGAGTAGGAGCCACACAATGCGGGGTGAGATTTAGTTCAGTAGGGCCACTCCTGCTCTGCAAGTGCAAGGTTCTAAGTTCAATCCCTGGCACACACACACACACACACACACACACACACACACACACACAAGCCGCACAATGGGGACAGGATGTGGCTCAGTGGAGCTTGCTTGCCCAGCATGTGGGAGGGCCTGGCTCTGTCCTCAGCACCACAAAAAGTGAAGAAGGAATCACGGGTTGCCAGCTGTGGGAGGAGAGGGCGTGTCACATACAGTCCTGCCCAGGTGTGTGGCTGGTGACACATTGAACTACACGCACTCACTTCCGGCCCCTTGGGCTCCCCGAGCTGTGGGGGGGGGGCTGTTCTCAGATGGCTTCCGCTCCAGCCCCTGCCTTTCAGCAGGCTGCACCCTGTGCCACTTCCCCGAGGCAGGGCAGAACTGGACACAAGGAACTAGGTTCAAGTCCTGTCTGCTGGAAATTCAGGTCTGGGCCTGGGGCATGGCCCCAAACTAGGCACTGCTGTCCAGGCAGAGGCCCCTGGCCATGTGGTCTCTGCTGTGGGTGGGGGCAGGAGGGTATCATTCCAGGACCAGGGTGGTCTCCATGGAGACCAGTTAACACCCTTCTCCCCAGGTCAGTGAGTGGGATGAAGGTGACCCCCCAAAGCTCAGGTGAGGGCTGGGATTCGGAGGCACTCCTGGGTCTTCCTGAGACTGGTCCCCAAGCCTGTGGGCCCACACTGCCCCCTTGTGGAGATGCTGAGGGAAGTGCTGTCCCAGCCTGAGGGGTGGGCTCTCACCTCCCCAGACAGCAAGTTTGTCTGCCTCTGTGTGTGTGTGTGTGTGTGTGTGTGTGTGTGTGTGCGCGCGCGCGCGCGCGTGCATGCTTCATCGAACAGGCCTGGCCACCAGGGAAGCCCTAAGGCACATATAGCCTCCTCCTTGACACAACTGACGGAAGAGGGAGGAGGGACCCGAAGAGAGAGGGCAGAGGAAGAGACCTGTGGGAACTCAGGCTGGTAGTTTCCATCCGAAGATGAACACGAACCAATGGTGGCCACTCACCTGGTCCGGCTCCACCTAGCCCCCTCCCTACATTAGAATGAGCCCCACCTCAGCAGGGCCCCAAGCCCCGCCCACTGCGCTGCACTGGGCACGCAGGCCCCTGTGGCAGAGTCCCTCACCCAGATCTGCATGCCGGCTCCTCCTGTCCCTCATGCGGGGTCAGAAATGTCACCTCTGACTGAACTGCCCTCTTCCATGTAGGTCCCTCCAACTCCCACTTCCTCTCCCTACAGTTTTCTCACAATTACAGAGACTCCTGGCTTGACCGACCTACCTGTGTAACAGCTGAGGTGCTGTTCGGACTCATGGCCTGCCTCTGTTTTGTAGTTCTGGACATCGTGTTGAAAGAGTCTCGGTGTGCTTTTCCGCACAGTTCACCTTGTTTATAGGGCGCTGTCATTTTTGTTGATTGCATTGTGCAGCACTGTAGTTGTAGGTTCTGTTACCCATCCCGGCCCTGCAAGCAAGAGTCATGGAAATCAAAACAAAGCCTCCAAGCTGGCATTGGTTTCCTTGGAGCATTTCTTTGACCTGAAGATGGTAACGTACGTACTACTCGTTTGGCAACCTGAAAATTCAGGTAACGACCTAGTGGCAGGCACAGACCCGGTTAATGAGGAGCGTCTATACTCTTCTTTAACAAGGGGATTGGTCTACACTGCCGGCCCGCGTGCCTGGCTCAGCGAGGAGAGAGCATCCTGCTCACTTGTTAATCTGCATCAAGTCCTACAAAAGTCAGGAGCTCAGCAGCTGCATCCACCATTCTGAAATCCCCACAGCTCAGAACCCCAAAGTGTTTTTG